TTTTTTTTAATTTGAAGTAGTATCCTTTTCATGTAAATGATTAATGTTTGAAAATCGTATCTTTGAAAGTTATCAATTTTTCAACAAAAAAAAAAAAAAAAAACATGTCATTTTTATTTGTTTCCCCTTTTTTCATTTACTGACTAATAGCAAAACTTTGTTTTTTCTTTTTGGATAAATAATAAACAACTGATAAATATGAGTGGGTGATTTTTTTATTAGTTAGATTATATTAAAAAATTTGAAATTAAATATAAAACTTGATAAATTAATATAATTTTGAATAGTTTCTATTGTAAAAACAAGTTGTAAAAAGTATTAATGAATAGTTGAAAGTTAAAAATAAGCATATATTTGAATTTGAGAAATTAATAATATATAAAAGAAAAAAAAGGTTTACATTATAATGAAGAGTTTTAATTAGATATAAAAATTGTAAGTGTTGAATAAATAGGATAGACTTTCGTAAAAATATGGCTGCCTTCTTGTTATAACAAATTTCAAATTTTTAATTTTATTGCATTTGAAATAAGATCGTGATGAAATAGAAAATATCAATTACTATCTTTGAAAAGTAAATTTTAGGCTTATTAATTAAAAATGCAATAAGCTAAAAGCATCCTTTTTTTTCAGTAAAATTAGAAAAGTTATCAATAATTACTGTGTGTATGCCATTTTCTTAGAAAACACTTTTTACCCCACTTCCCCTGCACCCCGCCTTCTATTAAATTGAGGAAATTTGATATGAGAAATGAATTGATTTCATTTATTTGTTGTCTAGAAATGGCATAAAGTAAACAAATTAGAAATGATATACGTTTGAAGTAAGCATATTTATAGATATTTCAATATTTAAGCTTTAAAGATTACAAAGTTTAGCATGATAATATGTCAATATTGAAATAAGCTATTTATGATAATGATATTAGCAAATGTATTTTGTATTCAATATCATTGATATTTCTATCATTACTGTATATATTGATATCCCTGTACTATATATATCGTATACCTCTACCGTACATATTGTAGACTGCAATTATTCCGATTGCTATTTGCATCATTTTCGTTATTTAAATCGTAAATATAAATGTTCAATTATTATCATAAATGATTAAATGATAATTCGATTGATTTTCTATTGATTCAATATCAGTGTTTTGTCTTTTTAAGTTAACATTGAAGGTTATTTGAGGACAATAATGATATTAATGTTATGAATATAATGATTAAATAAGTGATAAATTATGTTATGATTATTTTACGAAATCTTTAGATGAATAAATAATTGATAATTTTTGTTTATTCATTTTGTTGATGATTGGGCATGTTTTGTTAGTTGATATTAATACTGATATTTGTTGTCCTTTTCATGATTTCATTCATTTGTTTACTTTTCTTTAGCATTTTATTAAAGCAAATGCTTCTAATAATCTGTTAATTAAAATTAATTACAGCTTTTCCGGCTCAAATTTGTTTTATTATCAATATTTTGAAAGAAAAAATTTCATAGAAATAAATTTTTTTTTTTTGTTTGCGATATAATAAAGATAATATTACCTAAAGGTAAATGATAATTAAGAAATGATAATAAATATAATTATAATAAATAATAATAGTTTGATAATAAATTAAAATTATAAAATTACTAATAAATATTATAGAATGCATTGTTTACAAATTGATAAATATGGGAAATAAAATAAATGCTAAAATATTGTATTTGATAATAACTGATAATCCTGATTGATATGAATATGTGAATTCGGTTAATTGTATTAAATTAATATGATAAAGAGAGAGAGAGAGAGAGAGAGTACCGAATTAATTGTTTCATTTATTTTCGAGATTTCTTTTTGCAAATAATGTATAGCATTAGAAATATTCGTTGTAGTCGATTGTAGGAATGATGAAATCGTTAATAGCTTAATTAATAGGAAGCGCAATGATCGCGCATTGGAACATTCGATAGCAAAAGCGCCATTTGGTTCAGATATATACAAACGTTCCTTTATTTCACCAACAACCATAACACTTTCCAACTGCAAATTTTATCATTATGAAAAAAAAAAAAAAGTAATTAATAATTAATAACATTTTTGATAGCTATAAATTTTTAATGCAAAAATTATCTGAATTGAGAAAATTTTAGCCATAAAATAAACGCCTAAATAGATAATTAGTAAAAAATTTTAATTATCAATTCGATTTTAATTATGCATAGTTTAATTGTATGTAATTGGTACACTTGATTATTTAACTTTATACAGTACTATTGCTT